GAGGGAGGGAGGGAGGAAGGAAGGAAGGAAGGAAGGAAGGAAGGAAGGAAGGAAGGAAGGAAGGAAGGAAGGAAGGAAGGAAGGAAGGAAAAGTTGAAAGGGAAAGTATGAACACTAGGACAAATTTTGGCCCAGTTCCCGAGAGTCTTTGAACCGTCTGGGATATTCTTAACAGTAACAAGCTTTCTGTCATTGGCCAAGGCTCCCTGCAGGAGTCATCACAGAAGATTCCTGAACTGATAGTTCTTATTCTCCAGCACCAGTCTAGACATCTGCGTCCAAGTTCTATGTCATCAACTAGTGCAGCACATCTAGAATGCAGATTTGTGGACTACACTTCCCATGCATTCTAATTCAACTCTTCTGGGTACATGGAAATCTATTTAAATCTATTTTAGCCACTTACCTCCATCTGATGCACTTGGAAACTGGGAACTAATATTCTAGATACTGCCTAGGTCCATAAATCTCTGAACTAGTTGTACATAATCAAATGAGCAATACTATTGAACAACAACTGAATTTGAGTACTAAATATAACCAATAAATATGCACTAATCAAGTAATGAATATTCAGGTGTATAATATACTATCCTAGGCTTGGAAATGAAGACCTAGCTGGGGGTATGTGGCTGGTGTAACTGATGTTTTAATTAGGCACCAAGAAAGTGTCCTCATTTCTGATTTCTGTCAGTTCAGGGTGCTTCTGATTCATTAATGTAGCACATGCTTTGAAATTTCCCTTTTAAAATTCTCAAAATGAAATCATCTCAATTTATGTGGATTTGTATAATCAATTTTTTAAGCATTGCTTACTCTTTAAAGTTGAAACTCACTAATATTTTTGGATCCCTCTCTCCTTCTCGCTCTCCCTTTGCTCTGTTCATTCTCTCTGATCTCCATCACAATTTCCCCCTTCTTTGCTGTACTTGGAGATGTGGGAGGTGTGATTTGCAGGTCATGCAATCTCTCCATCCCATTCCATGGATGTCTGTTAAACCTCGGAACCTGCAGAACAAAGCCTGGTCAGTTTTGTATAAAGGAGAGCTTTGCCAAAGGTGAGTCTTGATCTTTAGAAGTGCCGAGACAATCCGTATATCATCTGCTAACACCGGCTGTGTGCCCAATGTCGTAACGAGGGCTTGGCCAGGACTCCATTATTCTAGTCATGCAACAATATGACCCGGATGGATCCCATTACTAATCTCCCTACCCCAAACCCCTCACTCACTTTTCTTCTTATCTTTTGAGTGCTGGAGATTGAAACCAAATCTATACACATGGCAACTCCTCAACAACTGAGCTATGTCCATAGCTCATTATCCCATTTTAAATTTATCCCATTTGAAAGCTGTGTTTATATACTATTCATATATGGATATGTGTGTGCATGTATAGGTTAATGTACATTGTATGTTTGCAAGAGCTTCTGAAGGCCAGAAGAGGGCATTGGATCCTTTAGAACTGAAGTTACAGGTTGTGGGTCACCCTGTGAGCACTAGGGACCCAACCTGGGTCTTCTGTAAGACCTCTGGGTCATCTCTCCATCAGCTCCATTTTTTTAATGAAAAATTGTAGGCGCAAAATGATTAAATAATTTTTACATAGTTACTGTTAAATGAGTATGATAGCCAAGATTCAAATACAAGTACTTTGACCCCAAAAATATTAACAAATCTGTATGTAGCCTCATTTATAGCATTCACATCTCAGAAAACATTAATAGATTATTTGCAAAGTTTTCTCAATGCAGGCTCCTGTGCAACTGTCCAGATTTCATGTTAAACACAAAAAACAAATGCTGACAAGATTAGAAGAAAATGCTGGTGAACACATTTCAAGTTTGAAAAAGAGGAGGCCCCTTAACATTCAAAACCCAAAAGTCATGAAAAACACAATTGATTTGAATGTGTTCATATTTTATAATTCGTAAAATAATGATAATGGTAAATGATAAGTAAATGTAGAAGACTGGAAATAATAAAAAGAAATAGATTACAGAAAAACATTATCTATACAGAAAAATACAGAATTTCTAAAAATCCCCTTTTAGAAGATGAGCTAGGGACTGGGTAGACGGCTCAGTCAAGTGCATGGAGAAATGAATTCAGACCCCAGGAATCCAAATAAAAAAGACAGACCTGGCTGTGTGTGCCTGTATCCCACTGGGGTCAAAGTCAGCCAGATGCATGAAACTCACTAGCCAGCCAGCCTGGCCGAATCAATGAACTCCAATCCCAGAAAGAGACCCAGCATTCCAAACTAACATAGAGAGAGACTGAGGAAAGATACCTGACATCAACCTCTGAGCTCCACACATATATGCGCGCGCACACACACACACACACACACACACCAAACTATCAGGAAAAATAAAACATGAAGGTAATTCTTGGCACAGAAAATATCAACATGTAAACAAACCAAAAAGCAGTTTAACCTTGCTGGTCAAAACAAGGCAATGTGAAGGACAGAAAAAAACCTAACATGTTTAGTCCAAAAGACTGATAACAAATATGTCTTATTATATAAAGGAGAATTGCACATATACATATACACACTAAATAAATAAATAAATAAATAAATAAATAAATAAATAAATAAATAAATAAATAAAGCAAAAATCTTTTAATAAATAGCCTAAATGCTCACATACAGGAAGCAGTTGGCTATGTTGTATCCAAACCATGCAATGCTGTCTGTTATGTAGCATGTGCTATATCTACTTGTTAATATGGGCAAATATCCAACCTTTGTCAAATGGGATGAAATCCAATTACAAATTTATGCACATAGTAGTCTACATATAAATAGAAATCAGCAAAGCAAAACTTCATGGAATTGGAAGGAAAACAAAAATCAGAGGACATCAAAGTTATGCAAGAGAGAGGAAGAGCCACAATTCCCACCTCAAGGGGACTGGTATTAAGAAGTGTCTGGCCTCTGTCAATCTTCACAGCCTACCTGCCTTGTAACTTTGAACTTTGCTGTTCAAAGCCTCTCTATTATTGATGGAGAAAGGTCCCAAAGCCCCTCAGAGTTGAGGACATTGGTTCTCTGACATCGCTCTTCTACTCCTGAAATGTAGGCATTCATATTGACATCAATTTAAGAAGTAAGGGATTCTAGGCATAGATTAGAGCCTGAAAGCTAGCCTAGAAAAATACTTAGAACTGCCTGTGGTGGATCAATGACCTGGAATAGCTTTGCTATATGAGAGGAGTTCAGTATCTTGAAAATTTTATGATTTTTCCACTGGTAGGGGTTAAACAGAATTGAAAGTTACATTTTAATATGGCTTTATCAACAGCTTCTAAACATTGCCAATAGTGGCAGTTGTGGAAGATTAATGCTTTGTTGTGGGGGATAGTTGCTAAGGCTTGGATCTCGAATGTCCCCCAAAGGTCCATGTCTTACAGGCTTGGGCTCCAGCCTTTAGCTCTATTGGGAAATACTGGAACCTTTAGAAGGTAGGTCCTAGTGGAAGGAAGTTAGTTATGTCCCAGAGCACATGCTATTGAAGGGAATACTGAGTTCCCAGTCTTATGCTCTTTTTGTTTCCTGGACACCATGAAGTGTGTGGCTTCCTTGGCCATGCTCTCCCATTACGGTCATATTACTTACTATAGGCCAAAAAGCAACATGGCCAAGAAACCATAGACTGAGATCTTTGAAACTGCGAGCTAAAACAAGCCTTTCCTCTTTTCAATTTACCTCAGGTGTTTTGTCACAGGACAGGGTGGTGAGCAAGACAGGAACGTCTTTCATGATGATGGAGAGTATAGCAACATCCCTAGCCTTTCTTCCTAGATGCCCAGAACAGACGCACCCTGCTACCCTACCCAACTGTGACAGCAGAAATCTCTGAGCGATAGCTTACATCCTGGGATTGGGGAAGCAAAACCAATCTCTGGCTGAGAAATCCCTTTTGTCTTTGTTGCTCAGGGAATGCTCATTAGTCTTCTTGAGACATCTGAAGTTTCGGGCAGTAGAACTAGGGGACAACTGGAATTTGCTTTTCACTTTGCCCATTTGCAGGTGTTGTACCGTGATTTAACCAAGGGGGAAAGGCCAGGTATGGTGGTACACACTTGCAATCCCAAAACCCGAAAGGTTGAAGCTGGAGGGTTGAGGACTGCAGGGCAACCTCCACTGCATAGCAAGGCCCTGTCTCAAAACAAACAAACAAACAAACAAATAAATAAATAAATAAACAAACAAGCCAAAGCCAAAAAAATAGTGGAGTAATGTATGATAAAATTTCACCTCTAGGAAGCACTTACTAGAATAACCTTGTGCAGATCCAGCCTTTTGATTAAGTTACAAACCGGAGTGATGCTGGGGAGTGGTGATGAGCAAGCTCCCCCACAACTAACATAGCCCAACATGTCTAGACAACAGCAGTCGTAAGCAGAAAGCTGTGGTCGTTTTACAGCTCCAAAGCATGTGTTCTACAAAGTGCGCGGCTCAGTTTACCTGGGAGTTCTTAAAGGTGAGACGAGGAAGCCAGTCCTCGTGTAGGAAGTCTAGATTCGTGTCTAAGCTGGAGATTTCATTTGTCTTTTATTTTTACCTGTCTACTGTGGGAAGCACGCAAGGCCAGGTGGGTGGCACCTTCCTAAAGCTCCACCCACCTCAGCATCTCTTCTTTCTTCAGGTGGAATCCAGTGGTTTTCAATTAAAGGCTGCACCGAGGACAGATCGGAGTGCTTCAAGAGGGTCGTGAGGCATTACGAAGTCCGCTCTTCTCACTGCTGCCACCGGCCCCTGTGCAACTTCTGAGGAAGTGGGCTGTATCCTTGTCACGTGACTAGCCAGCCAGCCCCGAAGCCTCGCCTATTCTCGCGATGGCAGCTTCTGTGTTGCAGGTGCTTTGGACCATGGTCAGAGACTGACTTCGGCGTTCACTATGTCCATATCCTCCAACTCCCCCACGGTCTCCAAGGTGTCTCACAGGAGCTCTGTGTCACAAAAGCTGTTTCTGTTGCTATGATAAAATATTCCAATGAAAAGCATTTTGAGGAGGAAAGGGTTTATTTGGCTTATATTTCCAAGTCATGGTCCACCACTGAGGAAAATCAGAGCAAGAACTCGGGGCCAGAACCTGCAGGCAGGAATTGAAGTGGACTGAGACCGTGGAGGAGCAATGCTTGCTGGCCTGTTCCTCATGGCTGGCTCCATTTGCTTTCTTATATAGCCCAGGTGCCCCAGGAAGGGTACCACCCAAAGTGGGCTGGGCCCTCCCACATTAATTTTGAAATCAAGAAAATGCCCTCATAGACCTGGCCTCAGAAAAAAACCAATGTAGATATTTCCTTAACTGAGGCTACCTCTTCTCAAATGACACCAACTTGTGTCAAGTTGACCCCACTCCCAACCAAAAAAATCCTTTCGCCATCATATCTCTCCTGCTTCTCCTTCCATCCCCACTTGCTGTGGTGTTAGTAAGGCTATGGAAAAGCAAAATGTCCACGGTTCTCCAAGTCAAACCTGTGTAGTGGGTAGCTGTTTCAGCTTTGACCTGGAAGCACTACCCCCATTGAGGCTTCCGGTAACTGTCAAGCCTATGAGGTGGGGCCGAGACAGGAGCCCTTAAGACCTGATATCCGGATGTGCTGGCTTTCTTGGTTCCTGGATCCTGGACACTGGAGGTAGACCGAGCAGAGTTCTCCAGGGAACACTGCCAGACTGCGCTACACCTTTCCCAGACCCTGTAACCTATCCCTTCACTTGTAAGTTACCCCCACAAAATAAACCCCCCTTTTAACTATGTAGAGTTGTCTTAATACTTCCACCAATAAACCAAACACATAATCTCTACTTAGTTTATCATCTCCCTAAACATTTCCACATTAAAAAGTATGCTGATGAGTGAATTACCTCACAGGAACCAGAGTAATGCACAGCCTGATTTTACGGGAGAAACTAGCAGATCCCATAAAAAATAAGCCACAAATCAGCAAGCCAGGCCTGTGGGAATAGCGAACCCCAACAGCAAAGACCTGAGGTAGGTGGGCAGGACACACCTTAGTTCTTCCTTCTACACCAGGGTTGGCCCAGATGCTGGGTTTCCATAGTTAACCCATACCGGAGTGCTTGTCTGCTGTGGGTCAATCAAGTGACCAGTCTGGATCTGCAATCCTAGACAGGCAGGGGCTAGGTGGCCGCCCTCAGGGAAACCAAGAGACTTGTTTAACACACTGGGCTTCTGTTGTGTCCATTCAGTGCCCTCCTTCTGCCCCCTGGGCACTCTTCTGCTTTACAGCTAACCTTGAGTTTCTCTGCACTTTTAGGGGTTTGAAAAATATCAAATTCTTTTTGAAGGACTTAAGATATCTAGTGTCCTGCAATCTCTATAGACTTTGAAGGAAAAAGAAATTTTAATGCAACAGTAGTCAAACATGATGGTAAATGTTTGTGGCTCCAACATACAGGAAGGAGGCAGAGGCAGGAGAATCAGAAATCAGGCCATGCAGCCAGACCTTGTCTCAAAACAAAACAAAAAATTAAACTAAAGCCCCACGCACTTCAGCTATATTCTTTAGATCATGTTTCTGAGACTAAAAAAAAACCAATCACCCCATTCTGTCATTTAAAAAAAAAATAACAGTAAACAGCTGTTACCTCAGATCAGCAAACAATGGAAACCTCTTATTTTTCTTGTGCTTTTTAAAAATGTCCCGTCACCAACCCAATGCCATGGGGGCAAATGCCACACTTACATAGCCAGTGGCTCCTGACAGAGGCTCCCCAACACAGTCCCAGTCCCTGGGATGCCACAAGAAAAGAATTAGGAAAGAAGTGCTCATCTGCTTGTCACTACCTAGCAGGTGACCATGGCCAGCCTTAGGAGCTTTGCCTCTGTGCTCCATGCAGACCTTCCCACAGGCTTCTCTCTCTCTTCCCTCCTCCATGTTGGCCCCTCTGTACCTTATTGTCTTCACATGTAGATGAAGAAGATTGACTCACACAATCTCTTAGATACCCTCATGTTCTAACTTTTATGTCTGACGTAAATGAACAAAGACAGAGTCCTGACATTGACTGTATCTCTTTGTTTTCTTAGCTATAAACAAGACATTGTGCTGATCGCAATCCACAGGGTAGGCCCAGGTCTGACAATTAATATTCACCCAGCTCTGCAAAATCCAGGAAACTGGGCAGAGAAATGCAAGCCACGAGAAAAACAAATGTCATTGATACAGTTGACTGGTGCAACAATACCACCCCCAAAGTCACCATGGCAACAGAAATAACAAATAATAATACAACACTGGTGTGTAGGTGGAATGCAAGCCCCGAAAGATGTCCATGTTCTACTCCCTGTGACTTGTGAATGTGTTTCCTTGTGCAGATGTGCTTAAATCAAGGACTGTTAAGATCGGTTACTCAATGGAATCACTAAAGTATAAGAGGGAGGCAGGAGGGCCAGAGGGAGGGGAGATGTGATGAGGAAAGCTAAGGTCGCAGGTTGGTGGATGCTTCGTTGCTGGTTTGGAGGGTGAAGGAAGGGGGTCACAGGTCAAGGAAGGAAGTTCGGCTGAGAAAGAACGCATCTTCTCTACTGCAGCTTCCAGCAGAACCAGCCCAATGGATGCCTTCTCAATTTCCTCCCTCTCCATCTGTGAGATATTAAATTTCATTTTTTTATTAGTGTATATGCAAGCCTCAGCATGTGCCTACAGGTCAGAGGACAATGCTGGAGAAGTGGGTTCTCACTAGCTGATTGTTTCTGTACTCCAAGGATAACTGGGCTGCAAGCTTCTAGCTGATTCTCCTGTCTTTGCCTCCCATCTCAACACGGGGGTCCCAGGATTAGAGCAGTATGACATGCATCCAGCTTTTCACTTGGGTTCTGAAGACTGGCCTCAGGTGGCCAGGCTTGTGTGGCAAGCGCTTTTCTCTCTGGGCCCTCTCCTCAGCCACATCTTTTATTTTCAATATGGCCACTCATTACAGCCAGGGGAAAAATAAGGATCCTTGGCCATACAGAGAATGATACAACAGTTCCCTCTCCCAACGGGCACAGATCTGATGTTTAGGTAACATGGGATCTGATGCCCAGAGTAGCAGTTCAGTGCCATTTCATCCACCTTTCCATGTATCTTCTCAGTCACAACTTCCCTCGAAGCACACAGACGGACCGCACACACACACAGCTACATCTTTTCAGCTGACACCTCCCACTCAAGTCTTCATCCATTCAGGAATTCTTCAGTTAATAAGCTGATTCTTTTCAAGTCCTTCACACTTAAAGAGAAAGTGATACCAAATTAGCCTGAATGCCCTCTGTAAAACACCAACCAGCCTCGGGGGCTAACGGTGCAAGGATCCCCCTTGAGCCTCTGAACACCAGGCGGGTCTCCCTGTCTCATACACTCCCTCTGCCACTGAAATAGAAATCGCAATGGCTAAAGCTTCTTATTACTTTAAAAGGAACGTCTTGGGGCTGGGGATGAGACCCAGGAAGGTGCTTGCCACCAAGCATGAGGAATTGAGTTCAGATCCCAGCAGGTATGCAAACAGCTGGAAGCGATGGCGCATGCCTGTGGCCCTGGAACTTGGGAGGTAGAGAAAGAAGGATCCATGGGCCTCGCTGGCTAGCCAATCTAGCTGAATCTGTGAGCTCCTGGCTCAGTGAAAGAACCTACCTCAAAAAATAAGATAGAGACCCATTAAGAAAGATATCTAACATCCACCTCTGGCCTCCGTATTCACAAACCTGTGTGCACACACCATTTTTTTTGAGGCAGTTCTCAATGGTTGATCAATTGGAGGCATCCAGAGAACATGGCAGACCTATACCTGAGATAATCTGTCAGCAAACAAGGGATAAACATTTTACTTCCTAGAATTTGACTGTAAGGTTTTCTAAAATTCCAGAGAACATGCTTTTTTACCACCAAGAGAGCTGGGGCTGTGTTTCCCAATGGTGCTCGTGGGTATAAAGCCCTGTGGGGACAAGTGATGAGCGGGAACTTCTGGTGGCAGGCTTTGTGATCCTCACAAACGCCCATTCCTAGAGGTCCTGTGGGTAGAAGCCGAGCCCCTGGGATACACTCGTACTCCTTAGTCTATGCTGGACATCTCTTAGAACATCACTCAGGCTTCACGGAAGGAAAGTCATGCACCAAGAAAAGAAACTGGAAGGTCGATGATTAGAAACAAGGTAATAAAAGGAAGCAGGATGCTGGTGGTGGAGCCCTCTCTGTGGATGCAGATGCAGGTCTCTAGTCTACTCATGGCTTCCCGCTCCAGCATCTTTCATCTGCACATCCCCGCACCTAGAGTTAATAGCTCTGCCCCTGTAAGTGCTATGTACAGGGGCTGGAGAGCTGACTCAGCAGTTAAGAGTGCATTGCATCCCACTTCCGTAGAAGACATGCACCTTCACTCATGTGCAGATACCACCACCCCCCACACACACACATGCTAAGAGATATACATACAATTAAAAATAAACTTTTCTTTTAAAGAAAAAAATTGTTGCTAAAATTCCTTCCCAAGAGAGATGTAAACAATGTCTGCTCCTCCTCCTAAGGCCCCAGTGACAGACAGGGGTGCAACTCCACCAAAGTTCACCCAGGGGAGCCCAGATGGCTGGTTTCCTTACAGAGCAGTGGGTGAGGAGTTATGGGGAGGCACACCGATGACCCTAAGTCAGCCACACTGATGGCTTCCTTCCGTGGCTGGGCAACAGAAACTCAGCCCTTCATCATCCCCAACCTATATCTTCTACGACCACGAGCAGTTAGGGAAGAATTGCATAGGACTGGTTAGAGGGAGTAGCTGGATACTCAGGCGAGGGTCCCAGGACCTTCTCCTCCCCAACCTTCTGCAAAGGAAGGTCAAGAAGAGGCCCAGCAGAACTCCTGAGGATGACGGGAGTTTGGCTCGGAGGATAGTCCTGTACTACAAAAGGGCTACCTATAATAGAATGTTCTGAACTAGCAACTTTGGTATCATTTTCTAATTGTTCTACTGCCTGAAATTGGTCTTCTCTACGGAGAACAACTGTCAACAAATCTTGTGCCTTTGCTCTCAGGCCTGTGATTTCCAACCTCATCTGTAACCAGGCCTTATGCTCATTCTTTGCCTCCTTGCTGCCTGAGCTGGCTGGCTCTGCCACCTGGTGGTCAGTAGTGGTAACTGCATGCCCTATCAAACTAGGGATGCTCTACTAGATTTCTTTGTAGGTCCCAGGGTCGTTTACATGTATACCACGTTGTCCTTGTGGCATGATTCATGTATACATGAATCA